TGTTTTTTTGATTGTTTTTGTCTGAATCTAACCGCCTGGTCCAGGGTTTTCCTTATTTTTTTTTTTTTTTATCCCCAGAATACATTTTGAGAAAAACGCTATCACAGTAGAATATAAAACAGATAAAAGTGAATTTTTTTTTGACAGGGTAATATGAAATTAGAGAATAAATCATCACGTTTTATGTGAGATTGGGCTTGAGGCCGTACCCCCGTGAAGGGGGAGTTCTGGTTTTTGAAGTTTTTGTTCAAGCCGCCTGTTTGAATCTACACTGGACACTGGCTTTCCTAATGCAAGTCAACTTTCCAGTTTACTTGACATTTCTTTGGCGTTCCCCAATTAGGGGTCATGAAGCTAATGAACAATGAGCCAATGAAGCAAATGGAGCACATTGAATTGTCATATTTTTTCTTATTTGTCAGTGGGAGGTGATAGGGGATGTTGGGGAGCAGTTTTTTTTTTAATATTCAAAATGTCTTCTTCAAAATGTCCTTCAATAATAATAGTCGTTTTGTAGGAATTCTGGTCACAGTGTACAGTGGAGTTTTGAAGCAAAAGCGACAAATGTGGCAACACGGGTGGAGGGGGCCTCGACATTAGTGCTGTCCGCAAGGGGGCGCTGCAGGAAAAGTTTGGGAACCGCTGACATGCTGTGATTTCATTCGAACACAAATTGAACATTTTCACATCCGTTGTTTTTAATTTTCTAATCTTTCATCTTCAATATTTATCATCATCTGTCAATTTTGTTATATTTAAAATACCTCGGTGACAATAAAGGTGTAAAAATCGAGTCCGTTTAGAGCAGGGGTGTCAAACTCATTTTGGTTCAGGGGCCACAAGTGGGCCGGACCAGTACAATCATGACATAAATAACCTATAAATAACAATAAATCCATGTTTTCCCCTTTGTTTTACAGTACAAGTATATTACATAATATATAATATATTATAAGTACGAGTGTAGTACAATCTTCATATTTAGTGAAAAATAATTTTACAAAACATCAGGAACATTTCAAAATTCAGCGGGCCGGATTGAACCCCCTAACGGTCCAGGTTTGGCCCCCGGGCCATATGTTTGACACCAATGGTGTGGACAACATTAGAAATATAGCTGAAAGGAAAAAAGCAACATGATTTCAATATAGTTCTATTCATCCATCTCTTTAAAAAAGAAAGTGAAGATGAACTTTAAAGCTGAGGTTTGTCCAAGGCCTGAGTCCAAGAGGACAAAGTTCACAGTAAAGCAGCTGAGCAAAGCAGAGGACAAATAGTCACCAAAAACTACTTTGACGCAGACTTGAATACGCGCTCGTGCCGCTGCGTCACGGCTTCTTACCCCAGGCTGATGCATGACAGACTGAGTGAGTACAAAAAAACGCACAAAAACTGTTGTTGTGTCATTGATTTAGACGGAATACTTGTGCGTAAAAAATTAGTAGAAAAGAAAAGAAAAGACAAGAACTTTTTTATCAACGGTTATTCTTCTCCGTGTGCTTTCATTTATTTTTACTTGTACTGAACTCACCAGGTCAATATTTCATTAACATTTATCAGAAAAATACACAAAATTTTATTTTATCTGATTTTATTCCCCTTTTCATCAAAATGCTTTTCATTTAACTTAAAAAGTTGAGGTTTTAATAGAAAACAGAGCACCAGTGAGGTGTAAGGTTGTCTTCCAGATTAAGGGTCTGGGGTTTAAATCCTGTGACTAAATGAGAAGCTTTTCATCGCTAGGTCACCAGGTGTAAAAACAGTATCAGTTTCAATTAATGACTGCAGTGACCTCTTCAGGAACTAAATGTCAAATATATTCTACTATTTTTGTCATCATTTCTTTATTATTATTATTATTATTATTATTATTATTATTATTATTATTATTATTATTATTATTATTATTATTATTATTATTATTATTATTATTATTATTATTATTATTATTATTATTATTATTATTATTATTATTATTATTATTATTATTATTATTATTATTATTATTATTATTACTACTACTACATATTAATGTTTTGTTAATCTGGACCAGTTTACTGAGCTGGTAGTGTTGGTCCTTTACACCGGTTGTCCCACACCATCCATTGTATTTTTAAAGAACAGTAAATTTTCAAAATAAAAGACTTTATTCTGTTTTCACTGTCTAAAAGACATTTAATTTGGAAAAATTGCCAAATTGTCCTCAAATAAAAAAAAAAGTCAAATGGAAATGACTGAATTCTCTTTAAATTAATATTATGAATTATTTCACTACGATCTACAGCGGCTTGGTCCATGGACTGGTACCGGTCCACGAACCGGGAGTTGGACACCCCTTTGCTTTAAACCAAACGTTCCAGCTGATTTTCACGTTTTTTCTGTTTTCTGTTGTCAGACGCCAGTGTATTCAGTACAACACAAGTCAATTCCAACGAAACAACTCGAGCAAGTTTGTAAAATCCAGCACTCTCTGACAAAGTTTGTTTCTTTCCCTCCGTTGTCCCCCCCCCGCCCCCCCCCCCCTGCCCACTCCCCCTCCTCTTCCCAGTCCTGATTAATGCTGTCTCCGCATCACCCTTTTATCTTATCTGGTCAGAGTGAACTTCCACTGAAGGCAGGTACGCCCACTCTGTCCTCGTGTTTACGTTGTTCAGTCTGACCTACAATGACTGATGATTCCACTCCTCAGGTGGGAAAAAAAAAAAAAAAAAGGTTACCACAGGTCGCAGCGCATCCACGTACGGACTACGATCCCGCTCTCGGACCAAGGCTCCGCCGTCTGTGCACTTTTTACAATTTGTGAGTCACCTCAGCTGAGCTCATCAGGAATATTAATATAAGGCAAGATGCCAGCAGCGTGCCAGAGTCTGAGTTCCATCTTCTAATTTATAAAAAGGAGATCCTGGCTTTAAATAATTTCACCTCCACAAAGGGCACAACGGTCGTAAATCAGCTGGAGTAAAAGCCCGGGACTGTGGCGCTTAAAGCCGCGGTACCAGGTCCAGCTCAGTCATGAGTTCTGATCTGAACGATGAACCGATGAGGTATGACAGTATAATAGTGAGGTCTGTTGTTTGTCATCTGTAATTCAGGATCTTCATAATCCCAGACTCAGTTTCTGGTGTAATCATGACAACATCAGCGCCACCTACGGGACTGTTCCACCGAAACCCCAAAGCATCGAAGCATCAGTCGGACGAGCTCTCCAACCATGGTATTGTCAAACAATTTAGAAAAAAAAAAAAACATTTGTGGTTACTCCTGTATCTGTGTACATGCTTTGAGTACTGCATACTGCAAACTAAATAGACAACAAAAAGCAATGAATACTAAAGTATTGTTTTGCGTACTTTAATTAATAAAGTACTCCTAGTTTAACGCAAGTGCAGTAATGTTTCCCTAAATAAGTAAGGCGGATTTTAAGATTGAATGTACTCTGTTGACAAGGAAAATCGATCTTGGTTACAACTAGTTTCATGAATGCCATGTTATTTAATTCAAACCTTCTTCTTTTTCTCCCCTCTGTGACTTCCCTCCACTCTTCTCTGCAGCCGAGAGCCACAACAGTGTGGAGGAGGTCGATCTGAGACGGTGGCAAAGACACGCAGAGGTCTTTATTTCCGACACCATCTCTCCTGTCTCTGTACGCCGTAATGAGTAAACCTGAAGTCAATGTAGTACTGTTTGTTCCTCCCCGCAGAGGGTTAAGACCAAAGTCCTGGAGCAGGTCCAGGACCATCTCAGCGACCTCCTCGACCAAGCGCTGTCCGAGTCCGTCCAGCCTTATAGACACGGCCAATCGTCCCCGAATGGAAATGTCACAAAAAAGCTCTCAATGAGGTGAGGAGTGGATGATGCCATTAGTGTCTGGAAGATTGAATCTATTTATCTGCAGCTCACTGACTGTGAAGGCAGGATGTTCAACTGGTCAAATTTCCATTTGTTGGCTTTCAGAGCTCAGAAAATGGACAACGGCAAAGTGTTCACGGAGAGGCCATCACTTTTGGAGTAAGTGCCGGAGTCTGGGAATTTGGTTTATTTTTTTGAGATATATAACGTCAGATTAGCGCCACCTGGTGGACGTCGCTGATAGTGCATGCATGTTCTCTTGTTGTGCTATTTGTTGATTACCTAAGGTGCCTGCGGGGTATGTTCTAAAAGTAAAACTAGTCGACAAGAAGGTCAGATATTGTACCGTTACTGTGCTTTTGGAATCAGTTACAAGTTCCAGAAATAATTATTATTACATTGTATACGACGTCTGTATCCAACAAGTAGCTCTTCGTATTGCTAAGTACCCTTGAAGTAGCTCTCCGGTTCAAAAAGGTTGGTGACCCATGACTACTATTTTAATACTACGATTTTATATTATCAAACAGTGGGGCGGGTCCCCCTGAAGGTGCGTGGTGAGGTGACAGGGGACATGTGGGGGTTGGACGTGAAAGGCTTCCAAATGGCACGTTGGACAGAAGTGCGCCACTGCTTGAGCGATAAACACGCCTCCAGTCACTAGGTGGCAGCAACTCATACAGTGGTTTCAAATGAAACACTCTCAACAGTGTCTCTATTCAAGGAGAGGGGTGAGAAAAAAAATGTTGTCCCCCAGGGACCACTGTCTTTGTGGGACTAATTTTCCTAAATATTTTTTCTAGCGCATTTCCTCGTCGCGGTATTAGCATTTTAGCTTCACCGGAGTCAAACTGCGACTGTGAGTCATCGGAGTTATCTCAGAGTTCGCCTGTGTTGTTCTCTCTGTGTGAGGACTCAGCTCCACACTGTAGGAGGTAGAGACAGCTGGTGTCTTAAGACTGACGGTCTTTCCAGGTTGACGTCCTGTGGGAGGGATCTTTCACTTCCCTCTCGAACCATCCGTCACGGAAGTCCCGGTTATATATAGTGTATAGCGCTGTCCGAGTCCGTCCAGCCTTATAGACACGGCCAATCGTCCCCGAATGGAAATGTCACAAAAAAGCTCTCAATGAGGTGAGGAGTGGATGATGCCATTAGTGTCTGGAAGATTGAATCTATTTATCTGCAGCTCACTGACTGTGAAGGCAGGATGTTCAACTGGTCAAATTTCCATTTGTTGGCTTTCAGAGCTCAGAAAATGGACAACGGCAAAGTGTTCACGGAGAGGCCATCACTTTTGGAGTAAGTGCCGGAGTCTGGGAATTTGGTTTATTTTTTTGAGATATATAACGTCAGATTAGCGCCACCTGGTGGACGTCGCTGATAGTGCATGCATGTTCTCTTGTTGTGCTATTTGTTGATTACCTAAGGTGCCTGCGGGGTATGTTCTAAAAGTAAAACTAGTCGACAAGAAGGTCAGATATTGTACCGTTACTGTGCTTTTGGAATCAGTTACAAGTTCCAGAAATAATTATTATTACATTGTATACGACGTCTGTATCCAACAAGTAGCTCTTCGTATTGCTAAGTACCCTTGAAGTAGCTCTCCGGTTCAAAAAGGTTGGTGACCCATGACTACTATTTTAATACTACGATTTTATATTATCAAACAGTGGGGCGGGTCCCCCTGAAGGTGCGTGGTGAGGTGACAGGGGACATGTGGGGGTTGGACGTGAAAGGCTTCCAAATGGCACGTTGGACAGAAGTGCGCCACTGCTTGAGCGATAAACACGCCTCCAGTCACTAGGTGGCAGCAACTCATACAGTGGTTTCAAATGAAACACTCTCAACAGTGTCTCTATTCAAGGAGAGGGGTGAGAAAAAAAATGTTGTCCCCCAGGGACCACTGTCTTTGTGGGACTAATTTTCCTAAATATTTTTTCTAGCGCATTTCCTCGTCGCGGTATTAGCATTTTAGCTTCACCGGAGTCAAACTGCGACTGTGAGTCATCGGAGTTATCTCAGAGTTCGCCTGTGTTGTTCTCTCTGTGTGAGGACTCAGCTCCACACTGTAGGAGGTAGAGACAGCTGGTGTCTTAAGACTGACGGTCTTTCCAGGTTGACGTCCTGTGGGAGGGATCTTTCACTTCCCTCTCGAACCATCCGTCACGGAAGTCCCGGTTATATATAGTGTATAGACGAGCCAAATATATAATCTGTTCATTTTTCAACGAGAGGATGACTTTCCTAATCCTATATATCCTCTCCGTCTGTGTCAGTGAGCTGTTCGAGATCAGCCACATCAGAACCATCTACCACATGTTCATTGCCGTGCTCCTCATCTTCTGTCTCAGCACACTGGCTGTGGACTACATCGACCAGGGCAGGTGCGTCCCGCGCCGAAAACCTCTCCTGTGCCCTTTGTGTTTCCCGCTGCTCACATCTACTCGCCTCATTTGGTAGTAAAATCCCCAGACACGTGGGAATACTGCTTTGTTATTATTTAAGAAAGAAATAACAACGATTTGTCTTCCTGGCGTTCCATTTAATTTCCCTAGTGCACGCCTCACCTCAAGATTTAAATCCTACAAGCTGGAGCTGTCTGTGGGGACGGTGTTGAGTTTCGCGGCCGTCCAGACGTACGTTCTGGGCCTGTGTCCGATCCACGTAGTGGTGGACAACCAGCTGCCTCCAGCCTCCAGATTCATTGTAATACTGGAACAGGTCAGTGTATGGTCGACTGTTGTCCAAATGAAGACATCAATCTGGAACCAAACGATATATAAAACAAATGTGTGGATTAATTAGATGAAATATATCCAGCTCTTAATTTTTCTTCTATATTAGTGATCATGAAATGGTGGCCCGTGGGCAAATGTGGCCGAGTGAACTGTCAAATCAGGGCCATGACTTGATACACCACATAATAATTTTAGACAAAAAAGAGATTTTTATTTAATCAGTCTAGTAAAATTCTGTGTGTGTGTGTGCTTGGTTTTGGAATAGCTAAACTTGTGTGGACTTTTTAAAAATAAACTAGAACTAGAAAGGTAACAAACTACTTTTACTCACATTACTGTAATTGAGTAGTTTTTGTGAGTAATTTGTCATTTTCGAGTCGAACCTCGAGATATGAGCGTAATCCGTTCTGCTCCGAGAGCTCGGCCACCTAGCGTCTGCGATCGTGATCGCGAGGCTTTACTCGTATCTCGAAGCGAAAGTTTGCTTGGTGGCTTACTTTTATCTCGAAATACTCGTATGCCAAGGTCCCACAGGTTTACTCAAGTACATTTTGACTGAGGTATTTTACTTTGCCAGGTTGGGAAAGAACCCTTTCACCAAGTATAAAATTAAAAGTGGGGAAAAAACAATCTTGACCATATCTCTGCCAGCCCTTTGTTTACAAATGCAAACGTGGAAATAACTTTATCATGCAGTGTAAAATGTGCCCCCCCTGGTTGGATGTATTAATTCTCATCCTTTTTGCATCAAGTAATTTAATTAATTAAATTTCATTTAAAGTAACTAAAAGTAACTTTTACTCAAGTAGATTTTTAGATGAGTACTTTTACTCGAGTAGAATTTTGGTAAAGTAAAGATACTTTTACTTAGTTACATTTTTGGTACTCTGCAGACATTCTGTGGGTCCCAAATGAGTGAGTCGGGTCGTTTTGGAATAGCTAAACTTGTGTGGACATTTTAAAAATAAACTAGAACTGGAAGGTTCTACTTTTACTCACATTACTGTAATTGAGTAGTTTTTGTGGGTAATTTGTAATTTTCGAGTCGAACCTCGAGATATGAGCGTAATCCGTTCTGTCTGTGATTGTATCGCGAGTCTTTGCTCGTATCTCGAAGCGAAAGTTTGCTTGGTGGCTTACTTGTATCTCGAAATACTCGTATGCCGAGGGGCTCCTATCTCGAGGTCCCACTGTGAGTTAGTTACTCGTTTGCAAGTTACTATTTTTTTTACTCTTACTCGAGTAAATTATTAGATGAGTACTTTTACTCGAGTAGAATTTTGGTACTTTTTCCATCTATGCAGACATTCTGTAGGTCCCAAATGAGTGAGTCGGGTATTTTGAGGTTCAAGATCCGGTTTGGTATTAGGGTCAGATCAGAGTGAGGGCCAGGATTAGGATGAGGCAGATATTTGTAATCAGAAGGGGAACTGTGAGCTTGTTCTGTCTCCCTTACCTCCTGTAGGTGGAGCTGATTCGTGTCATCAGTCTCACCTGTGTCTCTGGTCATTAGTCTCACTCGTGTCACCTGGAGGCCTGGGTATATACAGTATACCTCTCTCCCTCACTCTCTCTTGTCTTGGTGGGATCATTGTTCTGCGTTGTCTGTGTCTTGAAATCCTGTTTGTTTCTGCCTGGTTTTGAGAATCCAGTAAATGGATGTATTTAGGTTTTCATGTACAGTGTTCCCTTTCTATATCGCGCTTCTCCTATCGCAACCTCAGTACATTGCAGATTTGTTTTTAATCCGATCTCGAGAAATATAGCAAAAAAATTAAACTAAAAGACATTATAAAATAATTATAGATACGAACGTTTTGGCTTTAAAAAAGGGGAAAACATTTGCTATCGATCGCTGCTAGCTTTGTTTACCTAGCCGAGATCGTACACAGCATACTATTGGCTAATACAATGAGTACTCGGTGTACTATTGGCTAATTGAGCATGAGTTATAAACATGTTCCTCACACTGATTGGCTCATGCATCGTAACATCTCTCAGCATCTCCCCTTGTCTGTCGGCCACTCTCTCGTAAAGGGCGTCCTGCCTGCGTCCTCACACTCAGAGGGTATTTTGTCTACGTGAGACATAACATGAATGTGCAAACAAACAAACAAAAGCAGGGAAATCGATACCCAATTACACTTGCCAAAAGAGAAAAAAACTAGACCACAGTTGACTGTGGAGGTGGAACGGTGCAGAGGTAAACATCACTTATCGATCAGTTGGATAAACACGGCCTGTTTAAGAACCCAAACGATATTCATTCATTCAGGAAGAAATAAGAATTTCAGTCACTGAAAGCATTTTAGAAGAACACGATGTGACGTGAAGCACCTGCCATCGCTAAATCCCACACCGGTTCTTGTCCTTCTGGCTGTGACATCAGTGTTTTACCGGGTGTGTTACAGTAGGTTGTCCTCAGGTTTAATTAGTCATTAAAGTTCAAAACAGTGTCACGTTTCATTTATCAAATCCAGATTTTACTGCAACGTGAACAGATGCTCATCGTAAAAAAAACAAAAAACAATAATTCAACACAGCCAGCGCATATATAATACATTGACAATTCATATACATTAGGCGGGAAATAGTCCATGTTGACCACAAGGAGCTGCATAAAGTGTGGTTTATGAAGATGTTTTCCATCATAATGGTGTAAAGATCTAAAATGAGTTCGGGGGTTGTAAAAATCAAGGCTGTCGTTATCGCGGAATTTCTTTCTCTCAATACGAGATAAACAGGCAACGCAGGGATGTCATCTCACATTAGCATTTTATCTCTGTCCATTTCCCCTCAGATCCGTTTCCTGATGAAGAGCTACTCCTTCATGAGAGAAACTGCCCCTGCGATAATAAAGAACGTGCCAAAGGAAGGTACTATAATGTATTGTTGTTGGGTTTATTTACTCCTCGGGCAGGGTCATTACTCACCGTGGCACTTAGCAGACACCGTAGAAAAATGGCTAAAACAGAGCTCAGCAGGTTGGCTCATAATGATTTATGACGGCGTGAAGCCAAGCGCGAATACACCTGCGTGCGATAAACAACCTGAGGAGCGTGCGGCTCAGCGAGGCCTCGCTGTAAATGTCAGCGTCGGTGCCACGCAAAAGGTACGCAACATGGAAAGGAAGCTTGGACTATAAAAGTCAGATAAATATAAATACACTCGATCAAAGTGTCCACAGTTTGTCGTCAATACTTCTATGACATCATCATCGAGTACAGCAGGTACTCTAGATCAGGGTTCCCCCAACCAACGGTTTGGGGACCTGCAGTGGGCCGTAGATCATTAGGGTACAGACGATATAAAGAGTTCACTTTAATTACCGAAGTCTTATATTCACTTTTAACTCATATCCGATATGTTGAGTTTGTCCAAACAATTCAGTTACAATTCCGATATCAACCGATACCGATGTATGCAGTCGTTTTCCCCCCAAATCTGCGGTAAACATCTCAGGAACCCACAAGCGATTCCAACATATTTGGCAAAACCCAAGCATCGCGATATCGGATTTTCATTATCAGAGTAAAAAGAAAATGATAATGATTCTCACAAATTACATAATTAAGCTAATATCGGGATGATAACATCGGTCAGCCGATATTATTGGACATCCCTAACTTTCATTTTTTCTGCTCCATTTCATTGCTAGGCTCAGGTTTTTTTTTTTTTTTTTCATACACTGACAACCCACAGGTCCCTAGAGTAACCATGCAAACAAACCACAAACTATTTTCATTATAAACTTTGTACACAACATAACTCTTTCACACACCCACACACTCCTGCACTTGGGGAACTGCGTTAGATCACAGCATCTGTGTTTAGATACGAGTGTGAACACAACTTGATCATCATGTCGTTTCGTTTCTGCCTTTCAGGAGAGTCTCCATCGTTTCCTACATTATCCAGCTACCTGTACTTCCTGTTCTGCCCCACTCTAATATACAGAGAGTCATATCCAAGGTGAGATGTCGCCCTGATGTATTGAATCGTGTTTTTTTTGTTTTTTTTGTGAACCTATATCAGTTATAGATCATATTTTTTTTGCGGAAGTTTTAACTTTCACCACCAGAGTCAACCTTATGTTGTGTTTCCTCAAAGTAGGATCGTAATTCACAAAGGGAAACGCTTTTTCTTCCACTGAAATTCGAACTAAATCTCATTAATCGACTTTCATTAGTGAGGAGTGTATTTGAAATCAACACTAGAAGACGCTATTACTGTCAGCGCAAAACACAAAAAATGTTATGAAACCAAAATGCCTACAGAGATAAAGAGTTATAAATGACGACAAATTTAAAAAAAAAAAAAAGTCTGTAATTAAATTAGTTTTATTAGCATTTTTTAGCACAGGAAACAGTTTGTCTTTGACAATCTTTAATATACTTAAGTATTAGCATTTTTTAGCACAGGAAACAGTTTCCGAGTTTGTCTTTGACAATCTTTAATCTACTTAAGTAATTCAATTTGGTGAAATTATAGATTTTTTATATAATCTGTAATGTATTTTTCAAAATGCGCCAATTAAGGAATTAAGGAAGAGCACACAGACGTTAGCTACCCTATTTTTTTCTCTTCACAGAAATACTCACATAAGATGGAAGTACGTTGGTAGTACTCTGGCCATGGTAAATACTCTTGAATTTATTGTCATATATCATCTTTACAAAGTTTGTACCGTAGTTTCCGGACTATGGGCCTCAACTTTTTTCACATGCTTTGAACCCTGCGCTTAAACAATGATGCGGCTAATTTATGGATTTTTACGTGCTAACAAAGTTCATACCGCTAGCGATCAATGGCTTTTCTGGTCGACTACTGTGTGTTAGACTAGTAGCGTATGTCTGTCTGTGAATGGCACGTGAGAAACACTGTTAAAAGATAGTAGTGTATGTCTGTCTGTGAACGGCATGTGAGAAACACTGTTAAAAGGGAGTTAGCCCAGGAGCTAATGTTAGCGTCAGCCCTGGAGCAGATCACTAAGTCTCCCCTGTGCATTCCAACTACGGTCGGGGTCTTTTTAAATTTAGTGGGTGCGACTTATATTCAGGTGCGCTCAGTGGTCTGGGGTGCGACTTATATTCAGGTGTGCTCAGTGGTCCAGAAATTACGGTAATAATAAATTATCACCTCAGCAGTTTTTTTTTAAACTACTTTGGTTGTAGTTACACAGTGCTGATCAAATAAAAGGACCTAGCCCGAACCCACACCGTGGTATGAAGTATGCAAACTCTCACCACTCTGTCAAACTTTCTGTAGATTTTGGGATGCCTGTTTTACGGCTACTTCATCCTGGTGCGCCTCTGTGTGCCGGTCTTCAGAATGGACACCAACCAGCCGTTCAGTTTAAGGACAATGGTTCTGGCTGTTTTCAACTCAATACTTCCAGGTACTACACACACACACAGACAATCCTTTAGAGCATACGTGTCAAACTTAAGGCGCGGGGGCCAAATGGCGGCCCGCCAAGCCATTTTGTGTGGCCCGCGGGAGCTTAAAAAGCATTTAGTAAAGTCCATGTAACAGAGAGCTTGAATAAATCATAATCAATTGCAGATACATGTATTGGTCTGTTATGGAGGAGCTACATCTATACCAGACTCTTCTATTTGTATCAAAGTCTGAATGACTTTTATTTTCAAATATTGCCAGATTATCGTCAAATAAAGAAAGTAAATGGAAAAATACAAAAATGAAGTAAATTACATTTTTTGTGTCTCACTGCCGGCCGGTACCAAATGATCTATGGACTAATCCTAGTCAGCGAACCGGGGGTTGGGGACCCCATGATCTATACAGTGTTCCATTTAAAACCGGCCCTTCAACAGGAACTGTATTGCTGATGTGGCCCCCTGGTGGTAATGAGTTTGACACCCCTGCTTTAGAGTGTCCTAGTTCCATTTTTTTAAAAACCCGATACGAGTATTTTCTACGATGGCCCTGAAGGTTTTTTCGGTAATTGTTACGCCGGACATAGTAGGCAGGAACCAAGTGCAGCACAAAGAATTCCAAAGGGCAAAAACATCAAAACTCACTTTTTTGTCACAAGGCATGAACTTCAAAAACATGGCACAGAGAGTGAGTGAGAGAGGTATATATACCATGAGCACCAGGTGACACCAGTGAGACTGATGAGCAGAGAGACAGGTGAATGTGATGACACTGATTAACTCCACCCAGCAGACATTGACAGGAGAGGGAAAACAGACAGCCCTAACAGGAATGTTGTTGTTGTTTCCTGAAATGTTCTGAACTGTCGTTGTTGTTGTTGTTGTTGTTGTCTCCCAGGTATCATGCTCCTTCTGTTGTGCTTCTTTGCCTTTATGCACTGCTGGCTAAACCTCTTTGGGGAGCTGCTGCATTTTGCTGACAGGATGTTCTACAAGGTTTGTGTCGTTCCGTACAACGGTCAGCAGCGTCCTCTGCTCCTGGGAGGATCGATATTGATGAACGACAAGTGAAAATTGCAGCGGGGTGGCTCTGCGTTTATTTAATGACTGCACTAATCGTGTGATTTGATCCGGTTTGGTTAATGTCTACTGCAGCTACTCTACATTTGATGACAAAAAAAAAAAAAAAATCATCAGTTTGCAGAGGAGAAAGAAAGATAAACTCTCGATCAATTGAGTTAATCATTTCAGGTGATGTCATCATCGAGGTTAGTTTATCTAATTAATAACAAACAAATAAGAGTCTAAACTCTGCCAAATCCCACTTGGCTCTTCTTTAAATAAATAAGAGCAACAGTGGGTTTTCCCTGCAGCATGTAGAAACACTGAGTAAAAAAAAAAAAAAAAAATCCAGAAAACTCAGAAAGAGCTAGCATTAAACCTAGTCAAAACACGAATAATCCAAAGGCTAAAAAAAAATTACATCTAATTAGAGAAATATCTTTTCCCTTTGGTGTTAATAATGAGATAAAAGTCCGGTGAAAGTCAGTTTGTGTTTTTATATTTGTGTTCTTGTCCTTCCAGGACTGGTGGAATTCCACGTCATTTGCCAACTATTACCGTACATGGAATATTGTAGTTCACGACTGGCTGTACTATTATGGATACAGAGACTTCCTCTGGGTTTGTACCACTCACTTCCACTCACTTCCTATGTGACACAATGACTATATGACTTAAAAAATCCCTGCGGCACCAACGCGATTGCTGACCTTTGACCCCCCGCCCTGTCTCTGTGCTCCGTCTGTGACCCCTGCAGCTGTCGAAGAGGAGATTCCGCGCAGCTGCCATGCTTTCCGTTTTCATCGTCTCCGCAGTCGTCCATGAATACGCCCTGGCCATGGGCTTCGGATTCTTCTACCCCGTCATGTTCTGCCTTTTTGCAGTTTTTGGAGGTGAAGAATTGACCTATAAATACACAATTCGACTCAAATCCAAACATTTATTCTCGCCTCCGACCCGAAGGTAGAGAAGGATTGGATTATCGCCTCGCCGCCTTACTCAAATAAAGGCTCAATGTTTAACCACACACCTCTTTTTTTTTTTCTTTTCTTCTTCCAGTGGTTTTTAATTTCACTCTGAACGACAAACGTCAGAGCCCCGTGTTCAACATCATCATGTGGACGTGTCTTTTCGTCGGCCAGGGCATCCAGGTGTGTCTGTACTGCCAGGAGTGGTACGCTCAGATACACTGTCCGCGGAAAGAGGTGAGCACGGACATCTTGTGGCGATGCAGATTTGCCAGAAGAAGAAAAAGACTTACAAGCTCACACATAAGTCCATGCAGTAGAAGCTGAAGACAGATGCTGCAGATGTCACTGATCGTCATGACGGCTGGCCACAGCTGCACCAATCGTGTCAACTCCTCTGTCCAATTCACCGCATTAGTGCGTTTTCCCCTGCAGGGTGCAGTGTCATTCATGCACGCACACACACACAGACAAGGCTTGACACACATAAACAGCTGGGTAAAAATAGAACTGATGTCTGTAAAATGACGACTAAATTCAATTCTAATTTTTTGTTTTCGTTTAAACATCAGAATAGCTTTTGGGAGCTGGTGACGCCTCGGTCCTGGTCCTGCACCTATCAGAGATGAAGCTGCTGTTCTCGCAAGATGGCGGAAGGAGATGGAGATACATGCAGTAAACAGACACTAATGGACAAACAAGAAAACTAATTTTTTTTTTTCATCGTATGTTTCAATCATTCCGGGTCAAGATGTGAGTCTGTAGTCTCGACCTCCATGGAGGGGGTATGTTTGTTCGTCATATGTCTATACGTGAGAGATCTTTCTGTTATTTGGTCCCAGATCCATTACAGGATATTGAAAAAGCGGTTGTTGACTTTGGGAGATAAGGGTGTGTGGGAAAACACAGTGACCTTGGCCGAGGCTCCTACTGTCTGTATGTATTGTGATTCAACGTATAGACATATAGACATATGTTTACTATGTTGTTGTTGTTTCCTGAAATGTTCTGAACTGTCGTTGTTGTTGTTGTTGTTGTTGTCTCCCAGGTATCATGCTCCTTCTGTTGTGCTTCTTTGCCTTTATGCACTGCTGGCTAAACCTCTTTGGGGAGCTGCTGCATTTTGCTGACAGGATGTTCTACAAGGTTTGTGTCGTTCCGTACAACGGTCAGCAGCGTCCTCTGCTCCTGGGAGGATCGATATTGATGAACGACAAGTGAAAATTGCAGCGGGGTGGCTCTGCGTTTATTTAATGACTGCACTAATCGTGTGATTTGATCCGGTTTGGTTAATGTCTACTGCAGCTACTCTACATTTGATGACAAAAAAAAAAAAAAAATCATCAGTTTGCAGAGGAGAAAGAAAGATAAACTCTCGATCAATTGAGTTAATCATTTCAGGTGATGTCATCATCGAGGTTAGTTTATCTAATTAATAACAAACAAATAAGAGTCTAAACTCTGCCAAATCCCACTTGGCTCTTCTTTAAATAAATAAGAGCAACAGTGGGTTTTCCCTGCAGCATGTAGAAACACTGAGTAAAAAAAAAAAAAAAAAATCCAGAAAACTCAGAAAGAGCTAGCATTAAACCTAGTCAAAACACGAATAATCCAAAGGCTAAAAAAAAATTACATCTAATTAGAGAAATATCTTTTCCCTTTGGTGTTAATAATGAGATAAAAGTCCGGTGAAAGTCAGTTTGTGTTTTTATATTTGTGTTCTTGTCCTTCCAGGACTGGTGGAATTCCACGTCATTTGCCAACTATTACCGTACATGGAATATTGTAGTTCACGACTGGCTGTACTATTATGGATACAGAGACTTCCTCTGGGTTTGTACCACTCACTTCCACTCACTTCCTATGTGACACAATGACTATATGACTTAAAAAATCCCTGCGGCACCAACGCGATTGCTGACCTTTGACCCCCCGCCCTGTCTCTGTGCTCCGTCTGTGACCCCTGCAGCTGTCGAACAGGAGATTCCGCGCAGCTGCCATGCTTTCCGTCTTCATCGTCTCCGCAGTCGTCCATGAATACGCCCTGGCCATGGGCTTCGGATTCTTCTACCCCGTCATGTTCTGCCTTTTTGCAGTTTTTGGAGGTGAAGAATTGACCTATAAATACACAATTCGACTCAAATCCAAACATTTATTCTCGCCTCCGACCCGAAGGTAGAGAAGGATTGGATTATCGCCTCGCCGCCTTACTCAAATAAAGGCTCAATGTTTTTTTTCTTCTTCTTCCAGTGGTTTTTAATTTCACTCTGAACGACAAACGTCAGAGCCCCGTGTTCAACATCATCATGTGGACGTGTCTTTTCGTCGGCCAGGGCATCCAGGTGTGTCTGTACTGCCAGGAGTGGTACGCTCAGATACACTGTCCGCGGAAAGAGGTGAGCACGGACATCTTGTGGCGATGCAGATTTGCCAGAAGAAGAAAAAGACTTACAAGCTCACACATAAGTCCATGCAGTAGAAGCTGAAGACAGATGCTGCAGATGTCACTGATCGTCATGACGGCTGGCCACAGCTGCACCAATCGTGTCAACTCCTCTGTCCAATTCACCGCATTAGTGCGTTTTCCCCTGCAGGGTGCAGTGTCATTCATGCACGCACACACACACAGACAATCCCCTGCAGGGTGCAGTGTCATTCATGAATGCACACACACACACAGAGACAGGGCTTGACACACATAAACAGCTGGGTAAAAATAGAACTGATGTCTGTAAAACGACGACTAAATTAAATCCTATTTTTTTCTTTTCGTTTAAACATCAGAATAGCTTTTGGGAGCTGGTGACGCCTCGGTCCTGGTCCTGCACCTATCAGAGATGAAGCTGCTGTTCTCGCAAGATGGCGGAAGGAGATGGAGATACATGCAGTAAACAGACACTAATGGACAAACAAGAAAACTAATTTTTTTTTTTCCATCGTATGTTTCAATCATTCCGGGTCAAGATGTGAGTCTGTAGTCTCGACCTCCATGGAGGGGGTATGTTTGTTCGTCATATGTCTATACGTGAGAGATCTTTCTGTTATTTGGTCCCAGATCCATTACAGGATATTGAAAAAGCGGTTGTTGACTTTGGGAGATAAGGGTGTGTGGGAAAACACAGTGACCTTGGCCGAGGCTCCTACTGTCTGTATGTATTGTGATTCAACGTATAGACATATAGACATATGTTTACTAAAACATTTGTGTTGTAGATTTGTGTGTTCTGTGATAAATGTGTTAATTTATTCGAGCAATGTATAAATGTGTGCTGTAAGTGATATAAATGTTTTGACCTATAAAGTGTTTGATGACAGATTTTTTTTAAAAAATACATACACACACGTGTATATGTACATATAAATATATATATTCACATATATAAACCTAAATGTGTGTATATATATAAATATATGTATATATTTATACACATTTACATATTATGTATACATGTATATGTTTGTGTATATTTACATATGCAAAGCTAAATGTGTATATATGTATATAAATATATATACACATATATTTACATATATATACAGTACATATATGTTTTTGTGTGTACTGTATATACACATATATTTACATATAAATACAGTACATGTATGTTTTTGTGTGTATATATAGATAGATAGATAAATAAATAAATATATATGTAATTATGTATATATGCACATATACATAGATAGGACACCTAAACCTAGCCTGTGTGATCCTTCCTTGGCCGTGGCCTAAAAGACACATCGGTTGGTTGGGTGAGCAGGTTGGTTGGCAGCGCCTCATCATCAGGCCATTAAGCCTCTGAAGTCACTCCGGATATAGTGGATTAACTCTCAAGTAGTGTTTACATTTGGTAACGTAATGCTCTGTAAGACGATACGACCGTGACGCAGCAGGACAAGAACATTTCCACTGCAAATCTTGTTAGGTTTTTTTTTTCTTTTTTTTTTCCATGCTTGATTTTATGCTTTTCCCCCTGCTATATTCTGAGGCCTCGGATTACACTAGTGCACAGAATTACAACAATCGAAACTGATCCACTGACCATGGAACAATGTATTGCATTTGCTCATACACGTCCCTGTCCGGCCTTGACAATCTGTAAGTGTCTGATTTAACTCTGGATCTGATGAGTACTCCAATGGGGCGGTTACACTGCAATACATTTAAAGTAAAAGCCCCGAGGCAGATTTTTCTTGGGCCCTAAAACTCCCACTTCAAGGTGCTTGACTTTTAAAAATACACGACCCTTGCTTTTAATTCAAACTGTCTAGTGAACTATTATTGGATTTCAGAATGTCAAGAAAAGGATTCATTCATCTTGGGTGTGACCGTGGGCAGTAAACGTCTGATATTCAGTCAGCCTGCTGCCATTTATGTCTCTGTGATACGCTCCCACTGGCTATGTTTCATCAATCAGCTACTGATGTGGTAATAAGGTCAAAGCTGTCCCATACGACAACCAGCAAATGACACGGACGTAAATATTTCCATTATATTCAGCGATTGAGCTTCTCTCAATTTTGTTCTTTTTAACAATTCCATTTAAAACCCTTCAACAAAAAAATGGAACACATCCCTTGGCGTCCCTGCGGTAATCATGCTAATTGGAGAATTTGACCAATTATTAGTACGATCTTTCAAATTTAAAAAGGTGAAAAAGAATTACATTGACTCACGTTACTGTAATCGAGTACGTTTTGTGAGTATTCTGTAATGTTTGAAGTAGTTTTGAGAACAGATCATTTTCTTTTTACTTAAGAAATGAAATGTACTCAAGCACATTTTGACTCGAGTATTTTACTTTGCTACATTGGAAAAGAACCTGTTACCGAGTTAAAAAATAAATGTGGGGGAAAACAAGCTGCGTTGACGTTGACTAAGAGACAGACTGAAGTGGTCCATATGGCTTTTTAATAGCCCGCCAAACCTGTCCAAATTATAGTAATCATTTGTATCGTCATTATACTTCTGATTTTCCCTGCAATTACCTAATTTCCCCAATAGATGGCGTAGAAAAGGCTAACGCATTTTAGCCTTTATGCATGAGTTTTACATGTCATTTGTCATAGTTAACGTGAACGCTCTACCACCCCTGCTAGCCTGTGATTGGATGATGGCTGATGCTGAACAAAAAAAATGGAGGTTGAGGATTGCTGAGCAGTGAGCTCCCCTGAAGCAGATGACTCATAAAGAGAAGGAAATCCTTGACCATATCTCAGCCAGCTCTTTGTTTTCAAATGCAAATGAGGCAATAACTTCATCATGAAATACAAAAAGAAAATGAGGCAATAACTTCATCATGAAATGCAAAAAGAGCTGCTGCTGCTGTCAAAACGTCAGTGTTCTTTCATTTGAATTTGCAGTAAAAGTGTTCAAATGGATCATAGAATTCTCAACCTCTGCCACTTGTATTTAAAATGTTGATTAAAAACAACCAGTGGCAGACTGGATGTATGACTCGTTCCTTTTTTTTTGCATCAAGTAATTTAAAGTAGCTAAGTAACTTTTACTCAAAGTAAATTCCACATTAAGTATTTTTACTTGAGTATTTTTTTAGGTCAGTACTTTCATTTGAGTAGAATTTAAGCAAAGAAATACTTTTACTTCATTACATTTTTTTTTTTTTTAGTACTTATTCGACCTCTGCTGAAACCCCATCAGACAAATGTAATGTCTGAACCACAAAGCACGGAGGGTTAACTTGAGCCGTAATGGCTCCACTGGCTCATCTCTGGAATTACAGCAACCACCAGAAATGTTTTGGTTTGCTTTCAGCCCATAAAATAAAGGGAACCATGTTCCACCAGCACACGGACACTGGATTATTTTTCCTCCGCTGTGGAATGTGCTCCATTGACCCCCTGACCTGAATTTTTCCAGGTTTCCTCACTTTGCGCTGCTGATAGCACATAAAGAAAATCCAGAAAAAACAGACAACGGAGAGGTTTATTGGTTCTATCAGCTGGCAGTTTTTCCAAAGCACCATAGGCAACAAACTGAGGAGTGACCCACAACGTCAGAGGCAGCGAGACACAACAATCCAAACATGGGTGACACCTCGGAAAAAAAGTTTGAAACAATGGTCCAGACACGCTCCATGCTGCTGTGAGAGTCTGACACACACACACAGATGCACACAGGGGGGAGGGGCAGCAGCAGGAGACACTGCAGCTAGGACAGGGATTAGAGAAGAACATGCACATACTCATTTCCAAGCGAAACGCCTGCAGCCGGTCTATGCCGCCCTGTGCTGCCAGGGCACGTGCACTTGTGTGTAATGTGTACAATCATGTGTTAGTTTGTGAATGTTGGTCAGGAAGGAAGAGCAGGGATGTGATTGGATCCCTTTATTGATCAGAGACATTACTCCTCAACAGTTAGGGCTTAGTGCAAGCCTCTTTTTTTGGGGGGAAGTTAGGGCTTAGTGCAAGCCTCTTTTTTGGGGGGTCAGGGAGGGTGACCCTGATGTGAAGTGAATAACAAGAAATGTTACTTTCCTCATCCTCTCTGAAACATATATCTTACTTTTAAATCGCGGCATTGTGGCCGCAGTTGCACGAACCTAAAACTTTTTTTCTTGTGAGTGCAGCCTTGGACAGGAAAGAGCAGGATGGATTTTCCTCCGTCGAGCACAGACGCTGTAAATCTGTCCAACAGACTCTTGCGGTCTAGCAGCAGGCGCTGCATGCATAATAGGTCTTGGCAGTGAACGTATTAGGCCTGGACCACATAATAGATACAATGATGACTAGCGTAGGACTTGACTTTAACTATCGCAGCTATCATATGCTTGGTGTAACAAACGTCAGTACGGGCAAAAAAAGCAAAGAGACGTAAACAAGCTCCAGAAAAGACGGCCCTGGAAGGGAATCAAGTAAACAACTGGGATCAGCAAGGTTTGGTTCCTTTCCCAGTTTTTCGTCCAAGTGCTTCAAAAAGGAACGGAACCCGGATGGGAACGTTAGGTTCAACACCAGGTGCTCCGTCAAATACCAACATGGCGCCAGAGCCCCGATAAAATAAAACAGCTCCACTCAACTTAAACGTGCATTCAGTCAGTGCATAAGGACCATCGCTTTAACTCTATCCATATCAAATCTATACAAGTCCACCTTAAAAACACTGTCCTATGTCCCAGGCCTGGTACTACATTCGTTTTGGCTTCCTTCCTTATATAAACAACAGACCAAGAAAAGGTCCCTGTCTTATTAGATTCCTGGAGGCTGAACTGTCTCCATGTGACACAGTGGCTCAAAAACACACACACACACAGAACAATAGAACAGTCATCAACTAATTGCAAAAACAGAAAATCCTTTGTTTTTGCCTGACACCAGTGCCATCATCCCAGGGGCGGAGCGTCAAACGGTTACAAGCAGCCGCCAAAACAGAGCAAATTCGTAACATTGGAAAACATAGTGTGGGTTTTTTTAAAGAATTGTCTAAAAAAACCCCTGAGGAGTGGAAAGTTGTGGCTGAAAGTTTCGAATTTAAGATATTGTTTATGTGTGGGTGTGACACAGCACTCTGGGAGTGATTAGATAAAAAAATACAAGTCATTATTTGGCAGTGAATATTAAATCATGTACATAGTGCAGAAAATTATGTTTTGTTTTTACAAACACAGGTTTCACAGATCTACTAGTTAGTAGGGATGTAACAATGCACTCACGGAGACTCACATTAAATTGAACCTAAGTAACTATGCAAAATGTACGTTCATCTCCTCTCGTTAAAAGTCTATAACTGCTCTGGTCTGATTCACCTCACTCACGGAGACTCACATTAAATTGAACCTAAGGAACTATGCAAAATGTACGTATCTCCTCTCATTAAAAGTCTAAAACTGCTCTGGTCTGATTCACCTCACTGACTGTCAATATTTTAAACGACAAAAGAATATAAAAATATTAACTTTACACAAACACTGTTTCGTGGCGTGACCACTGACTTTTGGAGATAACAGCCTACTCCGTACACCTCGACGCGTGCTATTTTTTTTTACGTCAACTGATGCGAATTGTCACGGACTTGTATCGATTTTCAACCGATTCACGATGCGTCGTTACATCCCTACTAGTTACGTCTGGACTTTTTTTTTTTTTTTTTCCCCTCAATCGCAGCCTCCTCGTGAGTGGCAAACGCTGGACATCTATTTTCGAGCCCGCTGCCTCGCCAGCCGTTTCATGAAGCAACAGGTCACCGAGGCGATGATGACGATGCCCACGAACAGGGCGGAGGAGACCCCGACGATCAGAGGGATGAAGAGGAGGTCCTCAACTGGAGCAGAGCGGAGGAGAAAAAGCTCACAGTCATTCAGGGCGACATGTGTAATGACCTTATAGATGTAAATCGATGCGGATACCAGACGTTTTAGTACAAACAGGTGAGCACCAGTCGGCCAGTGTCATTGCCCTCATGGGTAAATGATTGCAGTAGGTCAATGATGTCAACAGTGTGGACGTATTTTAACATCAGGGACGAGACTATAAGATTTGTTCTGTTATGATAGAAGCAATTTAATGTCCCTTAGCAATAAATGCGCTGATATCTGCTCGCAACTGGAGAGTTTTTTTTTTTTTTTCAACATTGTGTCTTTGTTTGATTATTAAAACTGCATTAATGAAAACAGGAAGCTCTTTTGGTGTAGAAGCTCCGCTCACTTTCTGTTCTGCTGGCCGTGACTTCTCCTTAGTTTTCTTGATATAAATGCCATATTTGGTGACAATGTCACATTGAATTATTTTAATAGTCTTCTGTTTATGGGAAAAATATAAAAAAATGCTGTTAATCATTTCCGTGTTTGGTGATGATAAACAAAATATCCGATTTGTCTGATTTGTACTCTGTAGCATAAAGCACACACTCACCTCTTGCATACAGGTAAACGGTCACTGCATTTGACTCCGCCTCCACTCCCGTGTTGTACCAGCCTCCGTGCGGATCCTGACTCCAGGCCTCGACACTGCACGCGTACATGCCCTGGTCCTCCATGGTGGCCGTGTGGACCCTCAGTCTGTAGCCGACAGCCGACAGACGGTCGACGCTAATCTCACTGCCGTTGGTGATTATATTTGCGACGCCGTCGTACGTCAGATACGCCACCAGTTTGGGTTTTTTAGGGGCGTCCAGAGGAGCGGCGTCGGACGACGAACGCCTGACAAAAGGCTCGGGCAACGGCCACTGCAGCCACTTGACCCGAGCCTGGGCCGGACGTGTGGTCGTGATGGTGGCGTTGCAGATGAGGGTGATGGTGCTGCCCCTTTTAAGGAGGGGGCCTCGTTTGAGCTGAGCCACAGCTGAGACCTTCACATCTGTGAACATATAAAAAAATATATATATATTTTTTTAGTCATCATCTACATTTGATCACTAGTCATTTAGTTTGAACCAAGTTGTGACGGCATGTTACGCAGTCAGAGCATATCATGACATTCAAACTTTTAGGTAAGATGTTGCTAGGAAAACAACTGTTTTGGAGGATGTGATTTTAAAATATATAAAATGGAAGATGTCAATCAGAAAAATCATCCTCTGGTTTGTTTCAAATTATGCATAATAAAGAGTATATTGCTGAGTTCATCTGCCGGGACTCTGCCCTCTGCTGTTATTGGGTAGCCACTCTCACCTTTGGTTTTCAGGTTAACGACGACGCCCTCGGACTTCTGAGTGAGCGTTGCTGCCACGGAAGGACCAGGGTTCCTCCTTCCGGCGTATACGCTCACCACGCACCGATACGACCCAGTGTCCAAGGGCCGGGCTGAGAAGAGCTTCAGCGTGTACCTGCCCTCTGCCACCTTCTCCATGGAGCCGCCACTGGCTCTGCTGAGGTCGTCGCCCCAGCTGACAACGCCATCTGTGCTCATACGGGCCACTTCCACCTTCATGAGAAAATAGATCCTTTTCAATTTTTTCCCAGCACGTGTACGTGAATACCCGGCACTACACAATCACATTATTGGCTAAGGTTTTATATTACGTGCAGTAACGCAGGGGTGTCAAACATACGGCCCGCTTTCAGAATTGTGTCCGTTGATGTGTCTGTGATGTTTTTTTAAATTTAATTTTCTAATATACTTGTTCTAATTTGCATGAAAACAAAGGGTAAGGGCAAAGGGTCTGGTATAGTTGACATCTAATCAGGCTGTATGTAGCCCCTGAACCAAAATACGTTTGACATCCTTGAACTCAAGACGAAGATAAATAATGTCAAGTCCAAAGTGTTGGTACCTCCACTCCTCCAGCAGTGACTCCATCAGGGCCCCCAGACCCCCTCTTCATCCACTGGACCAGCAGACCAGAGTTGACGTCTGATGGCAACCCCAGCACCTCACAAGTCAAAATAAGGGGCGTACCAATCTGCAAGGTCACCTCCCCTCTGGGTGAGGACGTCACACTCAGGGACTCCGCTTCAGAGTGTGAGAGAGAAGAGAGCAGAGAATTAAAAAAAAAAAAAAAAAAAATTGAAAGTCACCTTAAATGGACAAATATACGGTGTAGGTAAAATACAATACAAGGTCACTGAGACCATTTCTCCTGTGTAACATCTTATTTAGTGAATCACGTTTGGTGGAGATTCTGAATAAAAATGGCAAAAAATATCACCATCACTGATGTGTTCTGTGCTCAGTCCAAAACAGGGTGTGCCGTAAAGGAGAGATGTGTATGTTATTAAATAGAAGCAGTCATTTTACTGAGCAAACATGGAGAGTATAATTATTAGCTATTGGAGTTCAGTGTTACCCTGACTGTAATGGAGACTTCGGTGTGACAGAGACAGACACTCTGTCAACGTAAGGACCGGGTGAAATAAACAATTACTTCAGAGCTCCACAAGCAATTAGACTGAGCCGAAGCTGAAGCGCAACAAGGAAACCTCTTAAATGGAGCTAAGGTGATCGACAAGGGAGCGATACATTTAATGTATCAGTCGTGAAACTGCACCAACAAAGCTTTGCAGAAAATTAAATAGTCATCTAGTTTAAATAAGTCATTTCCAAACAGAACCTAAAGGGAGGAAAGGTGGGAAAGTCAGGAATTAGAAACAGATTGAATGGCAAATATCGACTGATGCTGTTGGGATTCAATCAATCAAACCGGGGTTAGAAACCAACAGTAACGGTGTCATTTGGAATTGACATATTTGCCCATTTACTTAGGCTTATTTACTTATTACTTAATTATTATTATTACTCAGAATTCCTGTTTTGGTCATGTCGTTAGGTTAACTCCCACCTTCTGAAGAGCTGAGGTAAATATTTGTGAGGAACCATCAAGAGTTTTCAACGGCAGCAGGAGGAGATCTGCGTATGTGAAGATTATACTGATGAGTGTCCATCCATCCATCCGTCCATATATCCATCCATCCATCTATCTATCTATCCATCCATCTAAACATCTATCTAGCTACCCATCCATCATCTATCTATCTATCTATCATCCATCCATCTATCCATCTATCGATCCATCTATCATCCATCCATCCATCTATCCATCTATCCATCCATCCATCCATACATCCATCCATCCATCCATCCCTCCATCCATCTATCTATCTATCCATCCATCTAAACATTTTTCTATCCATCCATCTATCCATCTATCGATCCATCTATCATCCATCCATCTATCCATCCATCTAAACATCTATCTAGCTATCCATCCATCATCTATCTATCTATCTATCTATCTATCCATCCATCCATCCATCTATCCATCCATCCATCTATCTATCTATCTATCCATCCATCTAAACATTTATCTATCCATCCATCTATCCATCTATCCATCCATCCACACATCTATCCATCTATCATCCATCCATCTATCTATCTATCTTTCTATCTATCTATCTATCTATCATCCATCCATCCATCTATCCTTTGCTGTAAAAAGACACTAGGACCATTTATTTCATCACTACTGTAAGGTCTCTCTGTCTCCCTTCCCTCCTGCTTGGGTCTGTTATGTAATCAGTGCCATCACATTCACCTGTGTTCTGTGATTACATGTTCATTGGTCTCACTGACGTCACCTGGTGCCCTGGGTATAGCTACCTCTCTCTCCTTCACTCTGTTATTGTCAAGTCACTGGTCCGTGTCCATGTTCTGTGTAGTTGTACATGCCATGTGTTCCTCATTCATAGTTCTCGTTACTAGTTGCGTTGTTCCTGCCTGGTCCTGTATCCAGTTTGGTCAATAAATATACACATTTCAATAAACTTTCTGCACCCGACCAACGTCTCTCTAGTGCTGCGTTTGAGTCCTGGCTACTTGCCTTCACTGATACAGTATCTACGGGTTTAAAAATACAAGAAATCAAAATGTTCTCTCAACCGTCTACAACAACTTTCAGATATAAGGCACTATCTCGTAAAATATGTTATATCTAGATATAATATCGCATTATGTTTCTGTCAGAGGTTTAGTCATTGGTTTCTAAATCCTTGAAAAACAAATTTGAAATCAGAGCATTGCATTTTAACCACACCAGTTGTGACAAGTTTTGTGACCTGATGCCAAAGAATCACTTCTGCAAACTGTGATAAGACTTAAATTAAAGATGTGTAGAGAATTTGCTTTGTTTTGTTCAAAAAACAAAAAAAAAACAAGACTTAAATTAAAGATGTGTAGAGAAATCGCTTTGTTTTGTTCAAAAAAAACAAAAAAAAAAAACTCTTGAACTCTTTGACTCACTCTCGGAGAATGTTGTGATAAATCCATACAAGTTCCAGACTTGATGGAAAAACCATCAAGTAATCCACTGCTTAGGGAAACCAGTTAGTCAGCATCTAGAAATTCAGCTGTTTTTTTTTTTTAAACCTACACTAACAGCAATAGCTGCAGTTGGAAACCTTGAAAGATTTCAAAGCAGTTAAACATTAGCCCGAGTGACGAATACGATAAAAGATCCGAGGTATGAGCTGGTAAAAGAAAACCAAATTTGAGCTGCTTTGGTTTATCGTCTCAGATTTACTCTGTGACCAGAGCAGCCAACTTTATTGTAGGATATCCCGTTGCCTTTACGACGGCTTTCAGTTTCACAAAGTGCCTGCAGCAAAGTTTTATTACCCGCGTCTGCAGTTCTCACCAGGTCTGCTAACCGAGCAACGACCTTAGCATAACATAATCAGCTGTTGCGCAATCTGCTTGTTACACACTGTGACCTTGGAAGATGCTACATGTTGTTATAGCGTTGGCACATGTCAACACAAACCAAGCAAACAAACCCTGGCACTGGTTCCACATTGCCTCACTGACCTAGTTGCTGCACGGTCAGGTTGCCAACGTCCAGCGTCCTCTGTGCGATCTTCTGCCAGGATCGATCCGGGTCCCGGATCCACTGCGCGGCCTCGCAGAAGTACGAGCCGCTGTCGTCGGGCTGCACCGCTTTTATCCTCATCACGTACACGCCCTGGCCTCCCTCTCCGTTCCTCTTCTCCAACGTGATCTCGCCATCGTCGTAGCGCTTCTTGAAGGAACGTCCAGGGACCACGGCCAGCATGTTGTCGATGGAGATAATCTCTCTCACGGTGCTGACCTCCCCTCCTGCTCCGCTGCCCGAACTCTCCCCCACGCCCCGCTTCCCAAACGTGATGGACAGATGGGTGAGCTGCTCCGACTGGATGCTGGCTGAGCATGTGAGCTTCACCTCAGCGCCTTCTGGCACCGGCTGGCTGGTGAGGGAGCGGGTGAAGCTGATCTGGAGTGTGTCAGGAATCACTGCAGTTAAAAGGGAAGACGACACACACGGAGAGAGTTCTATGATGTCAAGCTGCTGTGGGAGACAGATGGGGGAGGGGGTGTGTCATAGGTCATTTCTATCACCTGTGTTCTGTTTATACTTTCCTGTTTTAAGATCATTGAAGAAAATCTGACTTTTAGCCTCTCTGGCTTTGGACCACAGGTGGAAAAAAAATACTAAAAAATATAAAAGTATTTTTACTTTGCTTAACTTCTACTCAAGTAAAAGTAATAAAATCTACTTAAGTAAAGGTAACAGTTTAAAATTTACATTGAGTAAAGTTTTAGTTACTTTAAATTACTTGATACAAAAAAAGACGAGTCATACATCTAATCTGCCACGAGTTGTTTTTAATCAACAATTCAAATACAAGTGGCAGAAGTTGCGGCACATAACATTTTATGATAAACTTATTTCCTCGTTTCGATTTGGCTGATTTGGCTGAGATATGACCAAGGATTTCCTTCTCTTTCTGAGTCATCTGCTCCAGGGGAGCTCTCTGCTTGATAATCCTCAACCTCCATTTTTTTTTTGTTCGACACCAGCCATCATCCAATGACAGGCTTGAGTCTGTCTCTTAGATTAATCATTTAATCAGTAATCAATGACAGGCTTGAGTCTGTCTCTTAGTCAACGTTGTCTGGCTGCATTAACATAGTCGGAAATCCACGCACGCCTAAGCAATTTTCTTTCAGTTAATGCAGATTGTTTTTCCCCTGCATTTTTTTTTAATCAGTAACGGGTTCATTTTCACGTAGCAAAGTAAAATACTTGAGTCCAAATGTACTTAGAGTAAGAGTAGTTAGAGTAAAATTACCTATTCTGTACGCCAGTTAAAAAATTACAAATTACTCACAAAAACTAATCAATTCATTACTTTCCAACCTCTACTTTGGATATTATAAATGCATTATAATGGAAAAAACTCCCCGTTGCAAAAGTGTTCTGATTGATACGTCTAAAGTGAATTTTATACTCTGGAAGAGAGCAGTATTCAGATTTTATATTTTAAGGAACAAAGTAGTGTAGAAACTAATGGTGTGTAAAAAAAATAACTAAATTAACAGAGACTCGTTACAGTTAGTCAATGATTACCAACACACTACTTAAAAAAGGAAACATACAGTATTTAGGCCGTAGGTAAAGATCATACGCACCTTTGACCTCTACCATGGAACTGTAGTTCCCCTGGTAAACACTGTCCGTGCTGGGTGTGTAACACTCGTACTTTCCCTGGTCATCAGCTCGGAGTTTCTGGATCACCAGTCGGACGGCGTCCCCGGAATCCCTCTCTATTCTCACTTCCCCGTTTCTGACCCGGGCCTGGAAAGGTGTGTACGGGAAGTCTTTGTCTCTGGTGGAAACCACTCCCAACTGCCTCCCCCCGGAATCATCCCTGTACAGGAACCACTCAAAGTCCTGAGTACGTGGTCCTTCGTACGCTGACACCGCACAGGGCACAGCCAGGGGAAACCCTGCCACGCGGTACAGAGGTCCCAGGGGTAGAGTCACATCTCGACCCAACGCACAGTGAAGCACTGCGAAGGCAGAAGTTTAGAGTCAGCGTGAGCAGGGGAGAAAATTCATGGAGACAGGATCACTCGTCAGGGTCACACTATAGTCTCACAGCCGCTGTATTGGCCTGATGGCTGGCTAAGAAGGACTCAGTATATATTTTACTGCAGTAGCTGCAGAAAAGGCTGAGGCTGAGTGAGGTGAAATTATAAAACGCTCTATTTCCTTTGTTGAAAATAAAATAAAAAATATATAATTTTATTGTTGGAAAGACTCGGTGTTTTGTTACCTCAGCACTTTTTATCATTTACAGCCAGTGCTGAGATACTTTATGGAGGTCTGAATATTGGATTACAATGGTTTAAATTAGCCAGTAGGAAAAGTACTGTAAATACATGTATTTTGTTTTAACTGTAACACATATATATTTTACTAATATAAAACTGAATCAAGGGACAAGGAACAGGACCAATAAACGTCAGCTTTCTAAAACCTACACCTTGTACCGTTTAGGATATGCTGTAGTTGAAGGCACCATATTTTCTGGCTTCATTTCAAACAGGGATTTTGCATTTGCGCTGTTCATCAATCAAAACAAAAAAATGTTTTTCTTTTTATATAACAACATATATATATATATATATACACACACATATATACATACATATATAATATAACACAAAGCCTCTTCTCTGAAAAGGATCCCTGCTCAGAAAACACTGCCTCAGGTGCTGAAACTGCTGCCCTGACATTCATACGACAGGGACACTTCCACAAAACAGTCTACCGTACCGATACTGAGTCAGTCTAAATACCACATGTCACGTTACTGACCAAAAAAGGAAGTTTCACTGTAGAGTAAACCAGTCTTTGAATTAGACATGAAAGTAGAAATGAAAGAAAAAAAAAATAGTTATTGTGTGCTAGTTTCATAGTATGTAAGTTCTGGTCATTTGAAATAAAACTTAATGTCAATTGTATTCATTAAGATAACAGGAATATAAACGGAAACAACTGCAGGAACAATTCATCTCCAAGTTAGACTGAAATTTATTTACAATTTATTAGGAACAATTCATCTCCAAGTTAGACTGTAATTTATATAAAACAAACAAAACCTGGATCTTTTTCTATAAAACTGGCGACTGAAAACACTTTCTTCGGAATGTGCATCTCTCACTTCATTTGTTGACTGTAACATTAATAATTGAGCGAGAAGTAAAAACACTTTTCACATGAGCCGGACGAGCCGTTTCCGTTCGGTTTTCCTCTGGCTCTACTTTGAAACCGCAGTGAGCAGTGTCACTTTCCTATGTACAATTCCGGGAAAAACACTTTCCTTTCTGACCACAGCAACGACAAAAACTATAATGATTTATTAACTGATATGATGAGTTTTGCCAAAGCTTTCAATTAAAGCATTGCGTCGGGGACCACTATTCGTCCCAGCTATACGGTGTATGGTTCCAGCCAGCCCAGGTAGCTTTTCTTTTCTCGACACCAAGTGATTTGGATCTGTAAACAAACAGAGGAGAAATCTCCACATCTTCAGATGCAAATGACATGTTTGCATCGGTTAAACACCCACCCGCTAACTGACACTGAACAAAAGGAACTGCCACAACACTCACACCCAGTGACTGCACTTAAAACTACCTAAACTTGAAATACTAGACGGGTGCGTTTTGGCACTCCCTCCGTTTGGGAGCGTTATTGGCAGACCCAGAAACAGCAGGAGATTTCACGCAGCCCAAAGTGGGACCTGATGATGTGGGACACAGACAAAGACAGGGAGACCGGTGAGACATTTAAGAGGATCAAGTCCTAATTAACACTGGGCTCTGACTGATCAGGGCTGGAGGGAGAGAGGGGGGGGGGGGGGGCAGCACAGTGTGTGACGTGCTTAATTCTGTCTGGAAAACAATATGTGATGCAACAGGGGCGTTGCCAGAAAAAATTTGTCAGGACAAAATAAAACCAGGGTTAAAACTAAAGACTAAGCTGTAGTATTTGTGTATGTGATTGGACTGAGCAAAGAAAGTACGGTGTTGATCCATACCAAACATACGGGATCTGAACTGGAACATGGAAGAGATCCCTGCATGGAATGCAGAAGGTTCCTGGTTCAATTCCACCTATTCCCCAATCCCAAGATTAGTTGTCTCATTCCAGACATCTGGTATAATAACTAAATATTAAATAGCACTTTGCTGACTACCACTGTAGTTTGGCCAAGTCAAAACAGTCCTTCTTCTTCCTCAATTGAGTTACAGTTCTACATTTTACTGGTAAAACTGTATGGTCAAGAAAAACAAAAGCAGGAACATATAAATGCATCATTTGTAAACACAGGGAAGCCTAAGTGAGGCATGTGGCAACAGTGTTTTAGTGGTGATCAGAGCTTAATGTTGCATTGCACTTGTAATGATTTTCTGAGAACAATAGAAAAAAGCAGAGAGGAACAAACAGGGGAAAGTTAGATTATAGTCAAACTATGTACCTGTATGTCATCAGTTCCTCAGACTTAGTTTATTACAGTTATTATTCTTTACTACTCCTTGTGTGTGTATTTTGTTGTATCACAGTACATTTCAGTACATCTTTACCAGCTATAACAGAAAGTAAATAGCAGTACATATTAAAACAAAGATCTCCTTTCTGTGAAACTCGGAAATGAAAATAAACACCTGCTGCTCCTTTGCACTGACTCGTCATCAGGTCAATGATCTCTATCAGTCATTTCTGCTGTTATATTGTAGGTAATAAAAACCTATAGACCGCAGAAATGAGAGGGATGTTAACAAGTAGACGGACGTCCACGTATACTGTTGCACACTGGGACACAGTGAACAATAATTCATCTAGTCTGGATAAACATCCTGCAAATGAGCCAGTGTGTGGCAGATGGTCAGTCGTGCTGTGTGCAGTTGTCACTGTTGTGGTAAGAAAAAAAAAAAAAGCTGCACTCACCCCAGAGTAGAAACACAAATGGAGCTGTTTTCACTGAAGCCACCATCGTCCTCCTCATCTTCTCCCCCTCCTCCGGTGTCCAGATGGACGACTCAGCTCAGAGTGTGTGTTTCTGTGTGTTTCTGAGGTCGTTCGCCGCCGATCATACTACAGAGCAGCGACTACAGCGACCGTGTCCACCATCAAAACAGCAGGGTGGTCATGTGCACAGTGAAGCTCTACACACACACAGGCAAGAACAAACAGTAGAGTTGGCGCCGTTCGTAAAGTGCAAATGAAGATCGACGCATGCATAAATGAACAAAACGTTTCGTTTGTCATTACCTTCTTCGTGTATCTCCGTCGTCACATCTACCGGGCCATGATGGTTCGGGTTATTCCGGCCCCTGATAGACACACGCTTTTCAGACTGGCCACGCAGTTGCAGGCATCACAGTGGGGGTATGATTAGGGTGTGTGTGTGTGTGGAGTGGGTGAGGAGGGGTGGTAAGTAATAAAAGGGAGGAGCGTGCATGCAAAATAAGTGAAGCTGGTGCCATTGGACGAGGGAGGGAAGATGGCAGTTTGAACCAATGACAATAGTAATTGTTAGAGACGCATGAAACCGCAAGATGGCAGCAGAGCAGAGCGCATGTAGTCCAGCTGTATGTCGGGAGAATTGGTTGGTCTCTCTCTACCTTCGAGTGGCTTCGTCAAATTTCAATATAACGTATCAATTGGTATACGTATTAATTAAAGCAAATAGGGAAATTAAACGGTTATAAACATGCGTACACTTCGAAACAGTCAGTACACAGTATGTAAATTCAGAACTAACTAATTACGGAAGTACAGTGGTCCCTCTCCTATCGGTAATTTATTGTTCCCACCGCGAAAAGAAAGACGAGATAGTTATTATATTATTTACGTATATATTTACCCTTTACGAACCTCCTCCACAGAGTTTTCAACCCTCCCTAAACTGCGGTTAGCGCTCAACTGCGGGAGGAAGTGTAGCGGAGTCGCTACGCAGGTGCAGCCTCCGCCGCAGGTGAGCGCAGTTGGAGCAATCAGGCCTCTCCTTAGGAGCCGGGAGAGAGGAGAGTGAACACTGGCCCAGGCGATGTCTGTTAGTTTATTTGTTTGCTATATTTTTACTGTTTCAATTTATTAGGTTAGAAGAAAAAAATTATTGTGAAAAAAAAGTTTACTGTTTCAATTTATTAGGTTAGAAAAAAAAAATATTATGAAAAAAATTGAAATTCAAAATAAATTACCGTAAAATACCGCGAGATTGGAATAAAAAAAATCCGCGATGTACTGAGGAAGCGAAAGGGGAACCGCGATATAGAGAGGGACCACTGTAGTTGTCATTTTTAAAAAGTCTTTTTTATTTTTTTCAAACAAAATTTAAAAGAAGCTATAAGAAACATTCTATTGTACTTTGTGTTTTCTTGTAATTTTTATTTATTTATTTTTCTCCTACCAAATTGTCCAATTTCCCCATATTCATTTTTGCCCAATGGTACATTGCATCATGTGTCATACATCTCAACCAGCAGATGGCGCCATTCAATTGCCCCACGAGTTTCATGGTTTTGGTTCAAGAAAGTCAATACACACGTGTTAATTAATACTTTTTTGTGTGTGTGTGCTACCGTCAAAGAAGTGAGCAACGTATGTTGACAGCTAATCATTGTACGTTGACCCCGATGTTTACAAAAGTAAAACCTTCATGTATAGAACTGTTTACACCAACAATAACCACGAACAGACGGTACTGTTAAACCCAGTCAACACGTCTGAGACCTGGAAAGGAAGCGTGCCTTCATCCTGATTTTTTTTTTCTTTTTCATCCTCCTATAAACGATCAGATAATGAACATCTGTGGATTGAGGAGGGAATATTTGAGCATACACTCCCACTGGATCATCATTTCAACTGATTTGGACAGGATATGGCCCCGTATGTGGTCAACTATGGAGGGACGTAGATGGGAGTTTAGAACTGGGGGACCTGGTTGTCAGCTCCTTGACAGATATAGATAGATACCTATATAGGATACCTATAGATATTGTTCTTCAAATTGTAAGTCGCTTTGGATATAAGCGTCAGCTAAATGGAATGTAATGTTTATATATATATATATATATATATATAGTCAGGGTTTTTTTTCTTTCTTCATGTTTTCCTGTATACAGTATATCCTTACTTAAGCTTAACAGCAAATATTGTGACATTTGTATACACCTTGAACGTACCATTAGCTGTAGCACACAGACACATCACAAACGGCACATTACATAATCTAACGATTATGTAGGGCCATTAAGGGGAGGGGTTGGGGTCAATATGTATCTCAGGGGGTCATCCCATCTCCTCTCCTCTCCCCGCTTCAGGCTACATGGAAACATGGATGACTTCAGAGTGTGGCTTGACAGTGCGAGAGGGGAAGTCATTTAGGTCTTCTGG